AATCACATCATTTAAAGGAAAATGTAAAGGAAAACTACACATAAATATTCTAGAAAAATATGAGTTCTGAAAAAAAAAAATTAAAGCTGCTAGTTCCTTTATAGAACAGAGTTTAAGGCAAAGGTAGACTTCAGCAATTAAAGTAATGGCCATAAAGGTAGCATGAACTCATGAATTAAACACTTAGCAGCCTCCTACGGAAGAAAGAGCCTCAGCAAATCTCCTAAATTTTCACCTGCAACCTCGAAGAAGTCTAGAATACATAGATATACTCCCTCCTGGGCTCCTTCTTTCCAAGGGCTGAGCTTGTTTTCTAAATAGTTACTGCAAACACCTCCTCCCTTCCCCCATCTCCAAGTTGCTCTTAGGACCAGGTCTTCCAAAAGTTCTTCCTAGAGAGATGTCTAATTTCCTCTTAACTATATACTACCCATAGACAAATAGAAAGATAGAAAACACACTTTTTAAAAAAGGAAAAAAAGAAAACACAACACTTCCCCAACATCACAACTCAGTCACTAACAGCCTACGTACACCATCTACCGTGTTTATCGTATCTGCCCTTGCTATAACAAGATGTCAATTTAAGCCAAGAGAAAGTACAAATGCAACAGGAGAATGTTAAAATGTTCGCCAATCATCAGAGGGAACACCCTGTCTCAAATCATTGAGGCCACAAACAGAAATTGGCACAAGTGCTCTGCCCTCTAGAGCAGAGTTCTTTCCCAAGGCTGCCAGGGCCTCAGAGGGCCTGGGGCATGATGATCCAGTTTGTGGCTCCTGTGCATCACTGAATTCAATGCTTATAAGGGTTAAGATTTATTGACTGCTCTGCACCAGCTGGAGATGCAGGTATTCTACATGTATTAATCCACTCAATTCCAACAACAAGCAACTGGGACGATGTTATTATCCTCCACTTCACAAAGGAGGAAACTGATGCCTTGAAAGGTTGAGTAACTTGCTCAAAGATACACAGTGAGAAAGTAGCAGAGCCAGGACACAAATCCAGGTGGTTGACTCTAGAGGCTACAATCCTAATTAACCAGTCCCCTAAACTTCCTCTAGAAGTTTCTGACATCATCATTTTCCTAAGAGATCACTGAAAGAAAGTTCATGGGCAGGCATCAGAACAACTCCAAGGAGATAATTTGGTTCTCATTGCCTTTATCTGCACCTGAAAGTTCACTTCTGGGGCTCTCACTAGTTGGATGCACTCCTATATAGCTTTTTGGTATAGCCCTCTTGTTGCTCTTGCACTAAAGCTGTGGTCCCTCACATCCTTTTATAGGGGAGATATAAATCTCTGGTCCATGGGCTTTTTTATTTTTTAACAGGGAGAAGCAGATTTTCTTTATTAATCACTCTCTTTTTGGCTTCCCTAGGACAAAAGCATATGAATTGAGAGTCCAGAAAAGAACGAATAATGGCTGGCATAAGGGGAAAGGGAACAAAATGAAAAGCAGAAGAAAGAATTAAGAGTATATTAAAAAGCAACTATTTAGTCATCAGGGAAATGCAAAGTAAATCAAAATGAAGAAACCATTTCATATCCACTTGAATGGGTAAGAATTAAAAAGATAGATAACAAATGTTGATGAGGATGTGGAGAAATTAGAACCCTTATACCATGCTGGTGGGACTGTGAAATGGTGCAGCTGCTTTGGGAAACAGTCTGGAAGTCCCTCAAATGGTGAGACCATAGAGTTGTCATATGACTCAGAAATTCTACCCCTAGGTATATAACCAACAGAAATGTCCACACAAAAATTTGTACATGAATTTTCATAGCAGCATTATTAATAATCAAAAAGTGGAAACTACCCAATGGTCTATCAATTGAAGAATAAATAAAATGTGATATAGCCATACAATGAAATATTATTTGGCCGTAAAAAGGAATGAAGAGTACTGACACATGCTACAACCTTGATGAACCTTGGAAACATTATGCTAAGTGAAAAAGGACAGTCACAAAAACACACATCTTACATGATTCCATTTATATGAAACATACAGAATAGGCAAATATGTAGAGAACAGAAAATAGATTAGTGTTTGCCCAGGGCTGGGGATTGAGGAATAATGGGAAATAACTGTTTATAGGTACAAGGATTTCTTTTTGGAATTCATGGTGATGGCTGCACAACTCAGTCAATATATTAAAAGCCACTGAAGTGTATACTTTAAATGGGTCAACTGCACACTATGTGGATATTTCAATAAAGCTGCTATATTGTGCTAAAACACGTAAATTATAAAGTAAAACCACTAGTCTATCCCAAGAGAATCTACGTCTTTTTGAGTGACAAATAATTGCAGAAGTGGCAGAAACTCAAAATTATTTAAGAAGAAAAAAATCAGAAAAAAATGGGTATATGAAAAGGAGAGAGGAATATTTCTATTTCATTAAATTTCAAGATACTGGGTGTGTTGAAGTCGTATTACATCAAATGCACAGATATTACACGACGGACTGCATAACTCTAAATCCAGACTTTCTCCTCACCTGAAATCCAGCAGTTCCAAAAATAAAGGCTCTAGAGAAGAGGTGATATAACATCAGCTTCTGCATTTTTTTTTTTTAACTTTTTGAAGACTGAATTAAAAAGTTTTCAAATATAAGGAATGTCTGGTATATTTCACCCCAACTTCACTAAATAAGGGTATTTTATTAGCATCTAAACTGTACACAGTTCCCTAAATTGAATTTAGGAATTTGGCTCAAATTTAACTAGAAAAAGTAAAGCCTTCACGTTCTGGAGCTAAGCATAAGGCATTGACAGCCAGACCGGTGTTGGCAGATTTAGGCAGAAGACTTTCAGAGTAAAGTGAAGGATCACTATACTATCCCATTATGTATCTTCTTACAATAACACTGTAGCAGAAATCAATGCAGTCTCTGACTAAAGTGTATTCTGAGTCTCCTATGGTGTGGCAAAATGTCGAAAGATAATATGGAGTTTTCTGGCTATTAGCAGATAGATACAGCACTAACACATTTTTGGAAACAGAACAGTTAGATAGCAGAGAATTTCCTTTGCAGTTTTTTAGCCTTTGACTTTCGAGCTACAGTATTACTAAACCTTTTACTCCCACTATGTCTTAATCAAGCATCATTTGTGTGGAAAAGCAGCTTACTGCTTTCCTTAAAAACGGGAGCCATTAATTGATCCAATGTGTTGGCAGTTCTAGAGAATCTTTTTAGACAGGAACAAATGATGCCTCTTACTTTGTGTTCAAAGAAGCTGAGTTTAAGATTTCACGCATATGCACAAAGAAACAAAGAATCCTGCAAAGTCAGACAGCAATCTTCTTGGAGTTTAAAAGATAAAAAAAAACCAACCAAACAAACAAAAAAAACCAAAACCCTCCTTCACACTTTCTCCCATGAAGGTTTTAGATATTAAGCAACATGTTTAGAGACACTTTACATGACTTAAAGTGCTTCTCCGTAGTCCTTAACATCTGCAAATATCAAAGTTTAAGTAGCGCTCCCATGACTCAACTATCAGAGTACAATTTTCAGAGTACAACAGAAAACTGTTGAGTTCAAGAAAACATATCAAATGTTTCTTAAGTGCTGTATCGTAACTTTTCTAAGAAGCGAACTGCTTCTCCTCTTCATTAATTAACACACTGCATTTTTCTGGCCTGTGTTTTAGAAGTCTGGAACATTTCCCCTCCCCACCTGTTTATATTAAGGCTGACAAAGTTCCTTAACTAAAACAGCTGGTGTTGATTACTGGAGGCAAACCAATTGAATATTTCACTAATAGGTGACATGAGCTCTCGGAATGGAAACTTGTCCCTAAAGAGAACACCCCTGCAAATGTAGTCAAAGCTTGGTGTTCCATTTCAGCAGTGTAACTATTAAAATCTGGCTTTCAAAAAATAACATTTTTGATTAGGAGACTCCATTCAGAAAATGCATCTGTCATTTTTCTCCCCTTCTTCCTCCCACTGAATGCCACAGCCTTGGCCCAGGAACCCCTCTGGGGAAGGAGAGCCCAATTCTCAGGCACATAAACACAAGGAGCAACCCTGGACCCAAGGAGGCTAGTCTGTTAAAACTAGTGGTTTATGGCTTTTTCTTTTTTGGGGGGGGGTCCTGCCACCACGGAAACATTGCCTATGTCAGGTACAGGTGTTATTGAGTTTGGGGGCATAACGTATTTCCAGTCCTGGCACCTGCCAGCATTAAGAAAAGCTTATTCTTTCTAGATTGAAATCACCTCATTCCTACCAGAAAGAAAACCTTCGGCATATTTAACCTCCCAATTAGGCAAAGGGTAATGCAATACTGGAAAAGCAGTTACAACTTTATCGCCACCATGCTCTTCGTGGCTTGTCGAGGACTGTTATTATTTACCATCGTGCCCGCCTGTCAGTTTCTCTGGATGACAGCCTAGCAGAGCACAGTACTTACAGTATTATTTATGACGTGCCTAAACCCAGCAGGGGGGACTCTCAATCTCCCAAGAAGAGCTGAAACCTGACTTGAAGCAGTAAGTTCAGGGTGGTGAGCTGCCAGCAAGTAACCCTACCCACCTCCTGATACACAAACGCCTGCAACAGGGGTATACCTGATGCACAGACCCAAGTACAGAGCTGAGTTATCAGATCTACCCGTTCTAAACAGGTGCGGGGCCGGGCACTACCCGAGAACAGTATCTGAGCCCTGCGCTCCAAACCCCACCTTCCAGATCCTCCTCGGAAAAGTTAGCCCACCACCGCGAACCCTCGTGCAGGCGGCGCTGTGCCAAGCTCTCCGGTATCCTTCCTCCCTCCCCGATACAGTTCATCCTCTCCTCTTTGTGAGCCCCCCAAAGTGATGCGGTGCAAAACTTAACAGGTCCAGGGAACCGACACGAGACTTGCACGCTGCACGGACTTCCCAGAAAGGAACTGGGAGGCAGGCGCTGGATTCTTCTAGGCACTTCTGTCCCCTCGGGCTCCCCTCCCCCGCGCCCGCACAGCCCCCCTCCGGGGCCACTCACCTGCGTGGGGCATGGTGATGGTCTCGTTGTTGTTGGAGCCCACGTTGAAGATGACCACGGCGGAGGCGTTCTGCAGGAACGCGTTCCGGATCTTATCCCTGTACGTGCAGTTGCCCTTGGGGATGAGGGCTATCCAGTTCTTGCCGTGGGTCGGGGCGGCGAACTTGGTGTTGGGGTCGCAGGCCAGGCGGTCGTGGGCCGAGCTGGCCATGACCACCTCCCCGCGGGCGTCCTGCTTGGGCGAGTGCTCCCCGTAGCGCCCGCACTCCGTCTTCTCCGTGTGCAGCTCGGCGCCGCCGCCCGCCCCCCCGGCCGCGGGGTCCGGCGCGGGCTCGGCGTAGGTGATGTTCACGAAGGCGGTGTACCATTCCTCCTTCTCGGCCACGGTGAAGTCCAGGCAGAGCAGATGCACGAAACAAAAGGAAAGCAGCCATGTTGAGAGAGCCAGACTGCGGCACGCTCGGATGAGAGACATTGCCATCTTTATCCGCCGGGGCCCCCTCCCCGCCCCCCGCGCCCTCCTCCCGCCCCGTCCCTCCTCCTCAGGCCCGGCCAACCCCGGGCCGGCCGCTTCTCCTCCTCCTGCCGCCGCTCACTCCCGGGCCCGGGGGGCCGCGGCCGGGACGCGCAGCCGCCGAGGGGAGCGGATTCCGGGCGAGTGGATGGCGCCGGCCCCTTCCCCTCTCAGCCGAAGAGCCGCTGTTGCATTTTGCTTCTCGGGCGCCCGGGGGGCGCGGGAGGAGGGGGCTCGCGGAGGAGTCCGGCTGCCGAGCGTCCTGCTCCTTCGCCTGGCTTCTCCTCCTCTCATAGAGGTGGCAGGGGGCCCAGGAGCTTGCGGGGTGGTGGCTCTGCGCGCCCCAGCCCCGGCGGGGGCGGGCGCGGTTGCTCGCAGTCTGGGGCGCTGCCGTGCGTCCCGGCCGCCGCCGCCGAGCGCTGGGGCGAGCGGGTCCGACTGCAGCCGCGGCGGCCGCTACCGCTGCGCGCCGGTTCCCTCGGGCTGTGGGCGCTGCACTCCTGGTCTCGCCGGGTGGCTGCGCCGGGGCACACACTTGCTGGGGAGGGGCGGGCAGAGAGGAGTACGCGGTCCGTGTGTGTGTGTGTGTGTCTGTATATGTTTGTGTGTGTGTTATGTGTGCGTGCAAGGAGGAGCTTAGTGTGATGTCAAAGCTTCTGGGCTTTGCCTGCCACGCTTACTTGGGTCTCTCTTAGTAGGCAGCAGCGACCCCTGCCGGGTCTCAAATTCAACCTCAATCTGTAACTTGGTCCAGGTGGGGGCAAAAGGGGAACCCCTTGACCTATGAGTTCAGAAATAACTTCCTGAGCCTGAAATATAATGAAATGTATGTGCCTCTCGTAAACAACCCTCCCAGTTTCTGGAAGAACTGCAGTGAGTTCCCTAATCACCCGACCTAGGGCCAAAATGTAGGGTTGGTTGGTATCGAGGTTCTTCCAACACCACTTTTGGAATATCTAGGGAAGTGGCTATCAGACCTTTAGTTTTAAAACTCAGATTGATGGGCCCTGCAGCAGACTTTCTGCTTCAGTAGCTCTGGGGCAAGTCCCTAGAATATGTGTTTCTAAGAAGTTCTCAGGTGATGCTGATGCTGTTCCCCTAGTAACCACTCTATTAGGATTGGTATAAGAATTGGCTGCTTACCTTCCATCTGGAAGGAAACGTTGAGATTTGTTTTCTTATAAAATCGGTGATTTCTAACTCTAAAAGAAAAGAAATTGGGTGAGATATTTCTCTACTGTGTTTATGCTGGTCGTCATGACTGGTACAGAGAACTCACAGCGTCAACAGGCAAGGGAGGTTTGTTTGGGTTACTGTTTATGGTGTGCTCTCCAGTTGTGTATAGAGATTACAGCTAGTCAGCAGAGAGTACAGTCCCCCTAGTATAGTGTTTTTAAAACTGTGACACTGCACAATTTCTTCCCAATTAAATATTTGGTGGTTGTTATCCCTTCTCCTCAATGGTTTCCTTGGCTTGAGATAGCTGCCATATAAAGTCTCTAAAAATATCTGTGTGATGGTTTTCAGTCACTCACATTGTACCTCCCACCTGACACTCAGAGAACCCAGGACCCAATTCATGATAAAAAAACAAAACAAAACACAGAAGTCCTCCTTTCCCCCGGGACTTTAATATGGTTACAACTTTCTGTTAGTGAATGACCACAGACGCAAGTTCTCTTTTTCCAGCAGCAGTGCAAACAGCTAGTGGTTGTTAGGGGAGAGCAGAGAGCCCCAGCTGTACCCAAATTAGAAGCAGGCACAAGAAGAACGACTTAAAGAATTTGTCTCTGTGGTATTTGATGTGCTGGATTTGTATGTGTTCTTACCTTATTCATTTTAGAAAATAGGCTTCTAGGCCATTGGGACAGTGCTTTTTATAGTGCCTAATGCCAAGGAGACAAAAGTGGAGACTACCTGGCTGCTGGTTCCTGAGCCACCCGAGATCTGAGCGAGGAGTCCATTGCTAGAAACTCCCAGCTAGGTTCTGAACACATGCATTTAGCAAACCACAGTGGTTTCCCAAACCTCTCTATCTGTTAGCAGTTTTTTTTTTTTTCCCAGCTGCAAGACTTGGAGAATCTGTACTGTTAAGAATGTGTGACTATCCCTTACCCTTTCTTTCCTTTAGGAAAGTTAGGGGCTGAAAAAATGGCAGGGTCAAGGAGGAAGCATCATGGCTGGGAGATTGCTTAATTACAGGGTCATTGGGCAAATAAGTAAAATACTGAGTAAAATGGGAGCCAGTTACCTTACTATTGGAGAAGGAATTTACAAATATGGAAAGAAAGCTAGCTATAAACAACCCTGTGACGTTAGATCGAAATAACAATGAGTATAAATGACTTTTTTTAAAAAAATAGATGTGTGTATATGTGCGTGTGCACACATATATACCATAGCTCTCTCCATTCAGAGGCTAGAAGCAAAGGACACATCAAGTGGCCCAAAGATCTTGGTCTCTAAATACCATCTTCCCCTAAAGGGAACTAGGGCTGATTCTGTGGCTGGGGCTGGGAATGCACAAAGTGAGCCTGCAGCCTCTTGTAGGGAGGTGCTCAAAGCCATAATGGGAATGTCAAAAGGACACATGAGCCGGCTGGAAAGGGCCCCCACTGGCCAAATCTGGGACAATTTGAACATCAAGATAAATGATAGTCATTGATTACAACCTATTGAAAAAAACATGAATCCATGCTAATATAAAAAAGATAGAATAGATAAATAAATGGGGAAGGAAGAACAGCTCTTTGTTAGGGTAGAAATGCCTACTATTAAGGATTAGTGAAAATAGAAAGTCACCACTTGACAAGAGTGCTGGCTGATTTAGGCAGGAGTCCTCAGGGAACACTGAAGCTGGCGGGTGGGTGTTTGCTATGAGTAAGGATGTGTTAGCCTATCCTTGAAGTATCTTCTGAAAAATTCTTATTGATTAAGAGGGGCAGTTGGTGAATTTATTGAAGACAATCCTGGAAGACACCAAGTTGACCTGGTGATCATGGTGAACGTCACCAGTTGTAGAACAAGTCATGTCATCCCCCACCCCCGTGAGAGGCACTGAGAAGAACACAGCACCTTTTCTGTCATGTTCCTGCCAGCAATGCGTGGCCTGGGTCTGGGCATAGGGAAACACTGGAACCCAGGGTGAGAAGCACCTCACAAAATGAAAGTTCTATACTCTTTAAAATTCTTAATCTTAATAAGGGACAGAAAAAGGCAGAAGAACTTAACTGATCGAAATTGAAGAGACTTAAAGCATGACAACTAAATACAATAAATATCCCAGATTGGCTTCTGGACCAGAAAGGAAAAATAAACAGTTGGAGAACATTGAGTGAGATCTATGGATCAGTTGGCATATTTTATCAGTGGAGATTTCCTGCTTTGGATGTTTATATTACAGTTTTGTAGAAGAATGTCCTTGTGTGCGGGATACGCACACTCAAGTATTTAGCAGTGATGAGACATTCTGTCTGCAATTTGCTCTTAAATGACTGGGGGAAAAAAATAGTGATTATCTATAAAATCTTAGTTTCCACCAGATATACTTTCAGAGAGCTCAAACCCAACTCATGATTAAAAAATTAAAAGTCAAAAGGCCACCTTTTCGAGAGGACATTAAAATGTGTCCAGCTTTGTGCTAATGACTCTCCTCCAGCCCTGCTACTCTTTTTTTCCAGTGGCACCTCTCGAGCTGTTTGGGGAGAACAGTGAACCCTTGTTCATTGTAGATAAAGCATCTCTGTATTTCATTTCTTCATTTATCAATATTTATTGAGCACCTATAATGCATTAGTGTTATAGGAACTTTGTTTACAATTGAAAACCAAAACAGATAAGGTTCTTGCTCTGATGGAGTTTACATTTTGGGGTTGTAAAAAGCAGATTTTTTTTTTTTAAGTTTTAGACTATGTCAGGTGGTAACAAAGGCTATGAAGAAAAAGCAGAGTGTGGGAGGGTGACCTGTTTTACATGAGGTATTATTTTCTGTCAGGGTCAGCTGCTCTGTGAGGTGACTTTTGAACAGAATCTTGAAAGTGAGAGATCCATGTGGATGTTTGGGGGACTGATTGTACCAGGAAGAGGGAACCATAAGTACAAGTACGATCTGAGGCAAGATTGTATGTGATGTGCTGAAGAACAGCAAAGAAAATATTAAGGATAGAGATGAGTGAGAGAAACAGAGACCGAAGGAGATGAGACCGGAGACCTGGGGAGAAAATGGTGTGTGGCCTTGCAGTCTAAGGTGAGGACACTTTGGATGTTATCCTGAATGAGAGGAGAAACCTTTGGAGATTTTTGAACAGGGAAATATATATGGTCTGATGTGTTTTAAAAGGTTTATTCTGACTGTATTGAAGCAAATATAGAAGAAAGGAGGACAATAGGGAGCTAGAACAATAGGAGCCTTCCATAGTTCAGGAAACAGGATAGTGACTTGTGCCAGGAAGGTGGCAATGAACGTGGTGAGATCCTCCCCAATATATCGGATCCTCAATATATTTTGAAGGCGGGACACACAGTATTCTCTGATGTATTTGACATGGAGTGTGAAAGAAAGAGAGGAGTCTAGGAGGACACCTGTTTGGTGAAAGGGCCATATAAGCAAGTGGCCCCCAAATGCCAAAGGAGCTGAGAAACCAGAGAATGAGGCAGACAAATCCAAATCCATTTGTCAGTGAAGGGTGATTTATTTGGGGAACTATGGACAGAAACATGGTCTTGGGTGGCCACAGGCAGGTAGATCTCTGCATCATAGCCCTCCAGACCCAAGGCATACATCCTGGGGAAAAAGTATACATGCCCTGGAAGGAATGTGTAGGTGGCTGAGAGAATGCTACGGGCATCACAGCCTATGACGTATGCAACGATATCAAGGGATGTTTTGGAGGAAAGGTGAAACTTATGGTAAATAGGTGTTCCTACACAAAGAGTGATACATCAACTAGACGTCTTGGAGGCATTCC